AAAAAAAAAAAAAGATTCTGATTCCTTCCTTACTGAATCCGCTACAGAGTCACTAATTAGAGAACAAAGCAGGGTAAGGAGGGAGAAGAATGAAGGGCCAATGAGCACAAGGGCCACGGCGGCCCAGGGCAGAGCAGCACTGTGGCCTGGACCTTGCTTGATCTACCTCTGAGCAGTGGGTCTGCAACCCTGTGACCCTGCCTCCCACTTGAGTGTGCTGCTGCTCAGGCTAGAAATGCAGGGATGGAAAAAAATCTCTCATACTTACCCTATTATCACTTATCTTTAGAACTTTAGTTAGAAACAAAAGCAGTAAGTTAGTCCAGGCTTCCCGGTGACTTTCTGATGTTAGAGTAAGGAAGTAACTTAGGGCTTCACTGCAGACACTGTAACAGAAAAGCCTCATTTTACATGTGCTTATGTACCTGCTGCTATGGATGTTCACAGATCAAGACCAGCGGGGACAAGGTGGATAGGGACTTTACTATTAGGAACTAGTTAGACTCTGTCTGCAAACTTTACTAGATTGTCAACATAAATGTGTGCTTTTCAAATTAGGAAGAAAATCAGACATAAGAAGCCACTGTAGTGTATCAGGAAATTCACATTTTACTCAAAGTCTCACTGAATTTCAGAGCCCCTGTGCAGTAGCACCTGCCCAAGCCCGGTGTCAAGAAACTTGGGCTGAAATTTGGGGTGGCTCTTCCCTTTACTCACTGTGAAGGTGTAGATACTCTGGGTCTTAGGAGTCTCATCAGTAAAATGGGCAAATAGGGATTAAGTCATCTCTTAAAATTCTAAAATGTATTTAATTGGTCTCTGAGAACATCTATTCCCTGTGAACACACAAAAATATCATGCAGAAGACAGCCTTCTTTCTGAATGACATGATTCTTAGCATGAACTTAAAATTTAAGTCGTCATGATGTAAAAAGTGAATGCAAAAAAAGTAACACTAACAAAACTCTATTTTTTTTTAACTGAATGCAGGCAGGCAGGTTTCACTTTCACAAATGATCAGTTTGTGAAAATGGAGTTATGTGGCATGAAAAAGCCTAAAAATGACGAAGTTTTAACTTTTAAGAGAGCACACTTTTTCCTTTGTCTTGCAGCAGCAGCAACAGACATGATTTGCTCATGTCTCTCCAACTGTGCACAAGTACGTTTATCTAGGAGACTGTATTTAATTTTCACAATCTCTTCCTTACACTCTAATATTTGCATGGCACTGCAGTGGGGCTGGGCTGTGGACTCTGCCCCGAGTGCAAACCTAGCGGTCCTTTCCTACTCTGTGCCATGGAGCCATGTGAATCAAAGACAGAAACTCAACCAAGAGTCTTACTTTAAAAGCCTTTGCTGGACCTCTTCCCAGGCACTAACCCGGCTCTCATCCATGTACATCCGGAAGAGAATGCGCAGCCCACAGGCCAGGCTGCTTGTCTCTTGCTTCAGAAGGTTAGGTTTGGATTTGCCTTTGAAACCTGCAGAAAAGGGAAGTTTCCAGGATTAACTTGGGAAGGCATCTTACAGAAAGAAAGGCAAATACAAAGCAACGTTTGGGCTGGGAAAGTGGAACTCTTCAAATGAAACTGCCCTGATGAGCTCCAGATAGCCTGCGCCAGGGCTCCTGGATGAACAGGGCAGACCGCTCAGCATGGAGATGGTTTTCCAAGGTCGTCAGCAGTGCAAAGTGCCCACTGCGTATGGACACACGGAGCCTGGTGGCTTTAGCAGGAGAATTCCCAGTTGAAAGGTAGAAACAACTTTGGCTGAACTACTCTTTCCAGAAGTCAGGTTGAAGAGGGAAGAGGATGAACAAAGCCATGAGCTTAATTAGGAATTAAACAATCATTTTAGATTAAGTAAATATGCAAATGTAAAGTACCCAACACTATTTCACAGTTTGATGTTCAGTAAATAATTGTTTTGCTGCATATTCTGCCTCTCACTCTTCCAGCACTGTTTTGTACATAATAGGTACCAAGGAACTATTTCTTAAATAAAAAATTGAATGTCAATATAATTGTTATAAAGTTGTTTCATTTAAAAAAACTTTTTTTAATGTTTTTATTTATTTTTGAGACAGGGAGAGACAGAGCATGAACAGGGGAGGGTCAGAGGGAGGGAGACACAGAATCTGAAACAGGCTCCAGTCTCTGAGCTGTCAGCACAGAGCCTGACGCGGGGCTCGAACTCACGGACTGCGAGATCATGACCTGAGCCGAAGTCGGCCGCTTAACCGACTGAGCCACCCAGGCGCCTCAAAAGTTGTTTCATTTAAAGATTCCAACTTGTCCAAAAATAAATTTGCCCACCACCGCCCCCCCACCCCAAAACATTCACTTCCATTCTGAGGTGTGGCCACTCCCAGGTAAGTATGGAGAAGTCACTGGAATACAGATGCAAGATCTCATGTTTAGGACTGTCATATGCTTTTTCTCATAAAACAGCAGCTTTTAGTATGCTGACGGTATCAACAGGAAGGCCCATGCTGGGTGAACAAGATGAAAAAATGGTCAAATCAAAGAACAAGTTGATTAAACAAGGGGGAAAAAAATCTCCCCCAGCAGTTAGCTGGCTTAGTGTAGATCAGACAAAGGCCTGGCTATCGATTCTGGCAATTGGACTGCCTTCCGATTATTACTGTTAAGGTAAAAAGTTCACACAGTGAAAGCCATAGACCTGAAGCATACAAACCATGAATTCTGATCCATGTATACAGCCCCAGTGCACAAGCATTAATAGTGAACATTAAAGTGTGACACCTGCCCAGCTTACCTGCTTTCCATAAAGCAGTCCTCTGTTCGTTGTTGGAATTAAATGCTTTTGCAAATCTATGTGACTCTAATAAGCAGTCCAGTAGCTTAAAAAGTTGTTGTGATGTTAAAAAGCGGTACATTCCTTGATCTTGAGTATCAACTCGAACATCAAAGTCCACGGCATCTCTCTTTGGAAAAACAAAGCACCACAGCACGCGCACACACACAGAGTCACAAATTTTAGTAAATTTAGAACTCCGTGCTTCCCCAAAGATCAGCTTTACCAGCAAGCCACAGAACTTAATCTTTTCTAGCTCAATAGAAAATAGGAAAAGGTCCATCTTTTGTTATTACATTTCCTGAGCCTTTATATTCCATGCATCCTAGTCACCAGGCACCACCTCCTATCTTCCCAATTCCCTTCCTAATTCCTAACTCCAGGAGCTCCGCCCCTCCCAGAGCCTACAGCCCTCACTGTTCCTCACCCCCATCAGGTCCTCACTTCTCTACTTCACCGGTTTGGATTCTAGGAACTGCAGTTATAATTGCTCTCTTGCATAATCCCTCACTCTTTTTAGATTAATTGGCTGGCAAAACTGCCTACTCCACGTCTATACCCACACAACAAACATAACGGGAGAAAACAGACTGATTTTAAATCCAGTGGGCTCTGGGTGGTGCCCAAGCAATCCTTAACGGCCTGAGTCCACTCTCTAGATGATTAACTCATGTTTTCACTTCTCTCCTCAAGTATCTAAAATTCTCCTCCCACTTCATTTGGTAGAGGATTTTTCTTCTCTCAATGAGAAACCAGAAGCTATCAGAAGAGACCTCCCGCAAACTCCCACTGGCAAACAGACCAACCTTCCTGTGTTAAGAACTACATACTTTGCTTGCTTTCCTGTCACAATGCACCAACTGCCTGTGCTTCTAACTCCCCGGGGACCGGCCCTAGATGCCACTCCCATTCACTCAAAAAGACAGCAACTGTCCCTCTTTCTGTGTTTCTCTCTTTCCTGAAGAATTCTCATCAGTGAAAATGCTGCAATATTGCCAATCTTAAAGACAAAAACAAAGCAAACCCTTCCCCTGACCCTTTCATCTTCCTCCAGCAATTATCCTATTTCTCTGTACCCCTTTACTACAATATTCGACACAATTATCAAATATTTGCTGTCTGCAATTCCTCTCGTCTCTGGTACCCATTTCAATAATGCTTTTGTCCTCAACATTACAATTAAGCACAAGGTCAAGGTCACTGAAGTCCACCAAATTGCTCGAAGGCAACTCTCAGATGAAATATTACTTTAAAAAAAAAAAAAAGAAAAAAAAATATTACTTGACCCACTGAGCATCTGACAGAGATGATCACATCCTTCTTAAAACATCTTTTTCATTTGGCTTCCAGGACACCACTGTCTCCTGCTCTCTCTCCCTTGCCTCATGGATTCTTATTCTCAGGCTCTTTACCAGCTGCCTTATCACCAGGAGCTCTGACCATGGAAGCTCCTGGGCTCAATACCCAACCGTCCTCTCAGCCCCACCCACACTTATTGTCTGGAGGATATCGTTTAGTCCCAAGGTTTAAAATGACATTTATGTGATGAAGAGCCCCCAAATCAAGTCTCTAGCTTGACCTCTGCTCTGAGGCCCAGACTGTGAAAGCCAACTTCCTATTCAACATAAAAGCAGCTGTCCTCACACCCCCATACCTGGGCTGCAGCTAGGTTTTCAGCATCTTCCTTCTTACTTGTGGCTGGGAAGAACACAATGTTGTCGATAGTCTGGATGAGTTCCAGCTGCACAACACATTTAATCAACAGGGCGGCAAACAATTTTTGTTCTGGAAATTCTGTGAGGAAACCCACCCCAATGCACATGCAAACAAAAATTATTTTGAATCCTTTATAATTTCTATGACATTACAATGCTTAAGGAAACATTCATATGAATGAAGGTTACTTGCACACATCACAGTGAGTACATACTGCCTTTGCACATAAACACCACTCAGTCTTATCAATTTTTAGAAAAGCCTCAGGAAAGTAATTTTTTAAATAAAAGTATTCTCCATGACTTAGAACAGTAAATAATGTCCAAAAAGGTCCCACTGCAACTTTAAGAAGATTTAAGTTATTCTTTAATAAAATGCAACAAATGCATTAAAAGCTTAATTAAAAAAAAAAGCTAACAGCATTTACTGGAACTCAAGTTTGACCTTTGAATATAGGTAATATAAAGCCTATACCAAAAGAAAACAACAGGAACCACATCTGCGAGAAAGGAAGGAGAGACAAACACAAATTCTGATAAGTGGGACAATACTGCAGGTTAACCAGAGCACGTTTTATTTGGATCCAGGTTAGAAGTTGTAGCCAAAATGACCTTATATTTTCAAATGGATCCGTAAGCAAAGAAATCTATAAAAAGTTACGCCAAGTGCATTACCACAAAATGCTCTCCACAGGTGAAATGAAACATAACTACATTCCTCTAGCCGGATGAATTTGCTCAACAAGACACAAGACTGTTTCTGACAATCCACAGCCCATAAGGTCATGTTCATAGAAGAATTTCCCATTTCACTGACCATCCCAGTTAAGCAAATGCAAAAGCACAAGGTTAGGAAAGAGGACTCAACTACTGAGATACTGCAAGAGCTTGGCAACACTGACACGTGGCTGCAATGATGGCCCCAGGCCATACCTCAATCCTGGGATGTCCAGAGCAGCTCTTCCAGTGAGCTTTCCAGGAGGCAGATGACTGCCTAGGGGGAGCAGCCTGGAAATCACTCTCCGGGCAATCACTCAGCATTACAGACTTACAATCCTTCAGTCTCTACTTTTGCTTTTATTACAAATTCCGTTTTGTGGCACCAATTTGTGGAATGCAAATTCATGTTTTAAGGGCTTTAGGGGTAGCAAAACAATTTGCGTAAATTTCTTCTTATTGAGGTCATTAATAAAGACTCCTTTCCAGGTAGTTTTCAGAAATGCTGGAGTGCGTAACACTTCTTACTAGATCTCATGTCAAACAAAAAGTAAAACAAAGACACCACAAATCCCACAACTGTCTCCTCTTCAGTATCTTCTTCCTAGTCCTTCACCTCAGTCAGAGCTGCCAAGTACCAGTCGTCATTCACCTCCCTCATTCAAGTCCTAAACTCCGTCCCTAGAGCAGGAGACTCCTGGCAGCACAGGTGGAACTCTCAATGAGACTCGGGAGTTAGGATGATGTCTGACGAGATGTGTTCTCATCGGTTCCAGCATCAGCCACTCAAGGGGAGAAAGAGCTGTCAGCAGGGTGAATGGACAGAATGGCTGAGGAGACTCCACTCTGACCGAGTGGGTAAGGCTGGGCCTCTCCAGGATCTGTAGTCCTGGGAGGAGTCCAGATCTCCTGCCCAGGATCTGTAGTCCTGGGAGGCTACAGATCTTAACGTTAGACTCACTAGCAATGACCAGCAGCATGTTTGGACAGATTTTATAACGAAGGCTGACACTGCCAGGGTTATAGTAGGTGACCATTTCACTGGTTCACCAAAGCTAAACAAGATTCACTACGTGGGACAGCAGGCACTGAGCTGAGACTAGATGGGGTGGTGGTGGTGTTTTCTTAACGTGTACAGAAAGAACGTGTACAGGAAGAACGAGATAGCTGCCCCTCGGACAGGGCGAAATACTCAGGTGTGTGCTGTGATTCTTTCCCCCGAGCAGGAGACAGCAGACGGTCTCTCTTCCACTAAGTTGAAAGGGCTCATGGGGACATGGTGGCCATTTGTTCTTCCTCTAGCTCCACCTATTCTGAATCAACAATTCCATGGCAAACTTTTCCTAAAGAACTTAAAGGAGATAGAGGGCAGGACATCTGATAGTAGGAAACAAGCCTGGGCCCTCGGCTCTGGATATGGGGAGCAGCATGCAGCTCCAGTTAAAGGTGTTTCCCTAGACTAGCCACGTGAAAACTTTCTAATGTGTGATGACCACATCCTTACTTTGCAAGGCTAAAGTATATTTAAATTCAGTCTTGGGGCTGAGAGAGAGAAGAGCCACTCACTATTCTGTCCTTATGGCATGTTCCAGTGCAAAGTTGTCGTGGATTCCTGCACGAGATATGCTGTTCTCCAGAGAACAGGAATAAAAAATGAAAATCAGCCACTCACCACTACCCATCTCCCTCTCCCCTTTAAGAGGTTAGCAAAACACCGTGACTGAAGCCAGAAGCTCTGTCTTCTCACAAGAACAAGTATAAGAACCTAGGATTCATAAAAAAAATTCCCTGAAAAAAAAAATTAACTCAAAATGGATCAACAACCTAAAGGTAAGGGCTAAAAGTACAAAACTCTTAAAACATTGGGGAAAACCTTCACGACCTTACTTCTGGCAAGTGATTCTTAGCCATGACACCAAAAGCATGAGCAAGAAAAAACAGGTATATTGGACTTCATCCGAGTTAAAAACTTTGTGCATCAGATGTTATTAAAGAAATGATAAGAACTATACACCACGAGAAAATAAATTTCTGCAAATCATATATGTGATACAGGTATAGTATCCAGAGTGTGTAACAAACTTACAATTCAACTACAACAAGAGAACCCAATTTAAAAAAGAGCAAAGGACACAAATATTTCTCCACAGAAAACAAACAAATGGCAATAAGCACATGAAAAGATGCTTAACACCACTAATCATTAGGGAAACGCACATCAAATCTACGATGGGGTACCACTTCACACCCACTAGGATGGTCATTTAAAAAAAAAAGAAGTGTTGGTGAGGATGTGGATACATTGGAATTGCTAGTTGGAATGCTACTGTGGAACATGTTTTAGTGGTTCCCTACAAAGTTAAACATAGAACTATCCTATAATATGACCCCAAAATTCCACTCCTGTGTGTACAGCCAACATAATTAAAAACAGGTACTCAAGTTATACTGTACACAGACATTCACAACAGCATGATGATAACCAAAAGATAGAACAAACCCAAACGGCCATCAGCAAATGACTGGATAAACAAAATGTGATACATATCCAAACAAATGACAACTGGTCATAAAGAAGTATCAGTCACTGACCAATTTCACAGTGTGGGTGGACCTTAAAAACATTATGCTAAATAAAGGCCAGACATAAAAGGTCATATACTGCATGATTCCGTTTATATGAAATATAGCAAATCTATAGACCAAGAAAGCAGATTAGTGGTTGCTAGGGGCAGGGGAAGGGGAGAGTAAGAAGGAATAGCATTAATGGGTGGGGAGTTTTCTTTTAGGGTGATAGAAACATTTTGGAACTAGACAGAGGTGGTGACTGCACAACACTGTGAATGTGAATGTTCACTTTAAAATGATTACTTTTTCTTATGTGAATTTCACCTCATTTTATAAAAGCAACTACAGTTGTCCTGTTTTCCTCTAGGAACGGGGTAGTTTTTCCTTGGTATTATAATTTCCTTATATAAACAAAGCTGGATCAATTTTGCAAAAAATAGAAAGGGTTGCCCTTCTTTGTGACAAGTACTAAGAAGGTGAGCAGAAGACATCGTGTGGGGCAGTCGAGTAGAAAGAAGGTCGGCTTCTCAGGAAGCTGGGTGCCCCTGCTCGGAAGGCACTATAGGGCACTATAGAGAAAGGCCCATCAGGCCCTACTTTTGCAGAAAGAATATGAGGCTGACATGCAGAAGAGAACAGGGAGAAGAGAGTCAGGTGCTCAACACAAACATTAAGCACTTGTGGAAAAAGCTGGTACTACAGGTGTTAGCGAAATGTCCAACTTGGAGCAAATGCAGTAACAAAGTGACCACACAACCAATTACAGTATATATTTGTTAATAACAAAAGTAAAAGCAAACATTTCATCCCTTTCCTACATAAAACAAAACACACTATTTTTACTAGGAGAAATAACTCACTTGCTGTATGTTTAATTTTGCTGACTTCTTCGTTCACAGTAGAGACAGAAGCCAATGGTGCTTGCTGTCTATTATCTGCAGATCTTGGTTGAATAGAATCATGAATATCTACAGATTTCTGTGATATTGTATCCTAATAAAATAAAAAATTCCTTGTAAGTACAACAAATCTTAAGGATGAAAACAGTTTCTAGTATGCTGTTTTTGAAAACAATTACATGGGTCACTATGAAAAGGACGTTCTACACAGTGATTACAGACAAAATGGGGAAATTATTTAAAGTTACCTATGCACAGGTAAGAACTGATAGCCTTTAAGAGAAAAGCTTCCTTTCTGACCCTCGATGGTCTCTGGTCTGGTACCACCCAAAAGCAACAGATAAAAATGCTAAGCTTCATTGTATGGAAAAACCAATCAGGGATATCCAGGACTCTTCATGCAGTCTAAACAGAACATGTATGTGGCAGAGGTGGGATAGGTTTCTGCAAGCTCTGTGTAGGTGGAGCTCAGGAAAGTTTTGTAGGGGTGAGTTTAAGGAAAGATGTTCCGTCATCCAAGGAAATGGCGACCAGAAAGATCAGTGAGAAGGTGACTAGGAGTGTGGTGTCATGAGAGAAGCTCAACATTCAGGTCAACACCAGACTTTGGCTCCAGGATTAGGTATAACCTTGGAAAAGCAATGAACACTACTGAGCTAGGGTTTTCTGATCTGAAAATGGAGAGGACCTTTCCTAGTAGGTTATTAGGATAATAAATGCAAAGCACTGGCACAGTATCAGACAATATATGATAGCTGTCAATACTATTCTGGCTTTATTTTGTTACAGCAATACAGCATACCAGAAAGAAGCCAGAATGTGTTTTCCAGAGGAACTGAGAATTCTGACTCAACAGTTTTAGCTGGAAGTGAACTCACCTGGGTTTCTGAAAGGAAGACAGGGGCCTGTGTTCCCAAGGAACAGTGCTAATCAAAATGGTATTTTAACTTAGACTTAAAATATCAGTTTATGATTTTTCATTTGCTGTTCTGTATAAAATGGGGATAATGTAGCAAATCGGGTTCAAAAAATTTCTAAAAGGATCACATGTAAATATATATATATTTTTTCGTTTATTTATTTTTGGGACAGAGAGAGACAGAGCATGAACGGGGGAAGGGCAGAGAGAGAGGGAGACACAGAATCGGAAACAGGCTCCAGGCTGTGAGCCATCAGCCCAGAGCCCAACGCGGGGCTTGAACTCACGGACCACGAGATCGTGACCTGGCTGAAGTCGGACGCTTAACCGACTGCGCCACCCAGGCGCCCCTAAAAATATTTTTTAAACAGTGATGTGCTACACAAATCTAAAGCCATGTTATTATTGTTATAACTGTTCTTAATTATCTTTGTATTTTTCATAAGCATTTAACAAACAAGAGGCCTTTAATAATAATTACATAGATCCAGAAGACTCATTGGGTAATTTCTTTGACCATGACGGGCTATAATACACTTTTAAGTAAAAAGTTAAATGGAAGTGGGGCGATTGGGTGGCTCAGTCAGTTAAGCATCCAACTTCAGCTCAGGTCATGATCTCACAGATTGTGGGATCGAGCCCTACGGCTCCACGTTGAGAGTGTGCAGCCTGCTTGGGATTCCTGCTCTCCCTCTCTCTCTGCCCCTCCCAAGTTTGTACTCTCTCTTTCTCAAAATAAATAAACATTAAAAGAAAAACTTAAATGGAAGAATGCATATAGCAACACTTAATTTATAAATCCTTTAAGGGAATGTTTATTTAAAATTAACTATTAAAAGCAAATGTCTCAGGGCGCCTGGTGGCTCAGTCGGTTAAGCGTCCGACTTTGGCTCAGGTTGTGATCTTGCAGTCTGTGGGTTCAAGCCCCACGTCGGGCTCTGTGCTGACAGCTCAGAGCCTGGAGCCTGTTTCAGATTCTGTGTCTCCCTCTCTCTGACCCTCCCCCATTCATGCTCTGTCTCCCTCTGTCTCAAAAATAAAGGTTAAAAAAAAATAAAAAAATATATAAGCAAATGTCTCTTTTTAACTTGTATGTTTTTTCTTGAGAGAGAGAGTGAGAGTGAGTGAGCGTGTGCACACGGGGAAGAGGGACAGAGGGAGAAAGAATCTTTGCAGGCTCCATGCTGAGCATGGACCGGGATGCAGGGCATGATCCCACAACCCTGGGATCCTGGCCTGAGCCAAAACCAAGAGTCAGACACTCAACTAACTGAGCCACCCAGGTGCCCCAGCTTGTACATTTTAGTAAGTATATTTTAAGGGGGAGATTAATAAGTTGATAGAATAAAAAAATGTATTATCTTACTGAATATAAGTGAAAGCACTGGTTTTTGAATTTTTTGGGTCATTGGCTCTTTTGAACATTCTCATGATCCCTAAAAAGCTTCTCCCCAGAAAACTAAATGTGCACAAAAACTAGGTCACAGTATTGGGAATTTAAAACTTCTCCTTTGTATCAGAGGAATCTTTTAATGTTAGGCATACTGCATTCTCAGTTTTTCTGATCAACCAATTAAAGATGATTTTTTGGTAATTCTGCATTTTTTAGAACAGCTGTGAACCAGACGTATGCCCACACCTCTCCTTTTAAAAAGGACTCTTTAATGGAAAAGGAGGAACTCCGATGAAAGAAATCTCTATGTATCGAAGTGGAGACATCTCTTAGATATTCCAAACATAACATGTTAGTCTCCAAATAAAATTTCATTTTTTGAGAAAACTATATGTAAATTTATATACTGTATATATAAATGTATAGAAAAGAGCTGGAAGGATATACACCACAATATTAAACCCTGGAGTTGCAGTGGAAGGGTGCAGTATAAAAAGGGCCTTGCATTTTTTTTACCCTATTTTCTTCTGTAATTTTTTTTTTTAACAATAACTGGGTATTTTTCTATTTTTAATATTGAAAAAATAGTCCTTCACCAAATCAGTGCTGGATATGCACCTGTGCTGGACTGTCACACGCTTACATTGCTTGCAAGTTCGCTGAACCGAAGAAGACTGACTTGCTCTGGGGAAAAGGTGGAAGATGACCCTAAATTCTTGAAATCTGGTGGTGCTGCCATCGTTCATATGGTTCCTGGCAAGACTATGTGTGTCGAGAGCATACTCTGGGAGAGGAGACAGACAGCTGCTGTGGGTCATCATCAAAGCAGTGGACAAGAAGGCAGCTGGAGCTGGCAATGGGACCAAGTCTGCCCAGAAAGCTCAGCAGGCTACATGAGCATCATCCCCAATAACTCCACCCCTATCTTTTTTTTTTTTTTTAATGTTTATTTTTGAGATACAGAGAGAGACAGAGCGTGAACAGGGGAGGGGCAGAGAGAGAGGGAGACACAGAATCCTAAGCAGGCTCCAGGCTCTGAGCTGTCAGCACAGAGCCCAATGTGGGGCTTGAACCCACGAACTGTTAAGATTATGACCTGAGGCGAAGTCAATGCTCAACCAACTGAGCCACCCAGGCACCCCAATGCCACCCCAGTCTTATTCAGTGGTGGAAGAACGTCTCAGAAATGTTTGTGTCAACTGGCCTTTTAAGTTTAACAGTAAAAGACTGGTTAATGGTAACAATGCATCGTAAAACCTTCAGAATGTTTTGTGGACCATTTGTGTGTGTGTGTGTGTGTGTGTGTGTGTGTGTGTGTGGCAGTTTTAAGTTATTAGTTTTAAAATCACTACTTTTTAATGGAACAAACAGCTTGGCCAAAAATATGTCACAGAATTTTGAGACCCATTAAAAACAAGTTTAATGAGAAAAACAAAAATAAATACAAAGTAGTCCTTCAGTGCACAGCAAGATCTACTCAGCTGAGAATGGCATTAGAAAATACCATAATTTCTTAGCAAACTATGAGTCGCAGAGAGAAGAGAAAGAAAAGGAAAGCAGGGTGCAAGAAGCAGTAGATCTCAGAAGGGGTGGCAGCAGCAGCTCTGGAAGGAGCCACAGAGAGGGTGAGACGGTCCTGAGGGGCCCCGCTGGCTCGCCCCAGGGAGCCCTGCAGCAGCCCAGGCACTGAGCACTCACCTGGCACATGCCGTTCCAACAGCTTTCTGTGCAGTGAATGCCCTGACCTAATTCTCATCACAAGACCACTCTAACACGAGGTCAGGTAACTTGCTGAGGCCACAGAGCCAGTCACTGCACAGTCAGGATTTTATTTTGGGGCTGACTCTAAAGCCCACACTGCAAATTACTATACTATACAGCAGAGGCAGAAAAACCAAAAGGACACAAAACAAGCAAGGAGTGGGCCAATTTTGAGAAAAACAGGAAACAGAGTAAGCTCATTCTGGGCTTAAAACAGGACTTCGTAAGTGGAGTCTGTGATGAACAGACCAGTCCTGCAGATCAGGATCATGGAGCAGCGTGCCCCCAAGTTTCCAGATGTGACAGCTCTCTCGAGACAAACTCACAGTAGTACTTTACTATGAAATCTAAGTTTTAGTCATTGACTATTAAGAAATTTAAAAGTTGTGGGGGACAAATCAACCAATGGACACTAATATGCTCCTGCTGGTGTCCTGGGTTTAAAACTGAATAAGCCCGTGGGTGCCTGGTTGGTTCAGTTGGTTGAGCAGCCAACTTTGGCTCAGGTCATGATCTCCTGGTTCACGAGTTCAAGCCCTGTGTTGGGCTCTATGCTGACAGCTCAGAGCCTGGAGCCTGCTTCAGATTCTGCCCCTCCCCCATCTGTGCTCTATTTCTCAAAAATAAATACAAAAACATTAAAAAAAAAAAAAACCTGAATAAGGCCAGATTAGAGAATAGCACTGTTTCAATGGTAATTTCCTGATTTTGTTAACTGCACTGTGGTTATGTAAGATATTTTTTTCTTCTTGCAAAGGAAAAACAGAGTAAGGAACTTAGGGATAAAAGGACATCTTATTTTCAAAGAACTCAGAAAGTCTTGGGGGCGGGGTTGATGAGTGAGAGAAAAAGGAAGGAGGGAGGGAGGGAGGGAGGAAATGATAAAGCAAATACAGTGAAATGGTAACATCTGGAGAAACTTGGGTGTCATGTTAGTTTTATGTGTCAACTGTCTAGGCTAGAGTATCCAGTGATTAATACAAGTGTTGCTGTAAAGGTACTGTTTGAATGTGGTGAACATCTACAGCCAGTTGACTTAAGTAAAGGAGATGATGCTCAATAATGTGGCAGAGCCTCACGTGATCAGCTGAAAGGCCGTCAGGTTTCCCTGAAGCAGCAGCTCCTGCCCAGGGCTTTCCAGTCTGCCCTACAGATTTCAAATTATTGGCCCTAATAATTGCATAGCCAATCCTGTGAAATTTAAATAAAAAAATATAGATATGTATGTGCATATATCATACACGAACAAATATATATGTACAGACAGAAACAGATATTTCCTGCTGGTTCCACTTCACTGGTACAACACTGATGGATACAGATTTTGGTACCATGAAGTGGGGGTGGAAGTGATTTTGGAACTGGGTAATGGTAGAAGCTAGAAGAGTTTTGAGGCATATGACAGAAAAAGCCTACATTGCCTCAAAGAGACTGTTAGTAGCAATATGGACATTAAATGCAATTCTGGTGAGGATGGAGAACGAGGTAAAATGCATGTCAGAGAAATCTTCTGTCATCCTAAATAATACATATAATGGTCATGAATAGAATGCTGACAGAAATATGAATGTTAAAAGTTCTTCTAATAAGATCTCAGAAGGAAATTGGGACTATGTTACTGGATAATGGAAGAAAGGCAACAGTAAAATCTTAGTGTGTGAGCATAACTCCGTCCGGAAACATGGTTATAATCCAAAGCACTCGGGGCGCCTGGGTGGCTCAGTCGGTTAAGTGGCCGACTTCGGCTCAGGCCATGATCTTGCAGTCTGTAAGTTCGAGCCCTGCGTCGGGCTCTGGGCTGACCGCTCAGAGCCTGGAGCCTGTTTCAGATTCTGTGTCTCCCTCTCTCTGACCCTCCCCTGTTCATGCTCTGTCTCTCCCTGTCTCAAAAATAAATAAATGTTAAAAAAAAAAAATTAAAACAACAACAAAGCACTCGTGTATCAAAAGTGAGTTTCAAGAACCACTGGCTCAGCTGTGATCATGTGATATATGGTGTCATGTACTACTACTCATTTATCAAGTTAAAATTTATTAGAAATGTTTGCCTGTCTTGTGGACAGTCGCAGAACAAGTTACTTGCAATCCAAGGTTTTCTGTACGTGTTATAAACTGGCAGAAAACTTAGCTAAATTGTGTTGTACTACTGGGTGGAAAGCAGAACTTGTAAGTGATGAACTTGCATATTTAGCTGAGGATATTTTCAAGCAAAAGGCTGAAGATACGGCCTGGTTTCTCCTTGGTGTTTACAGAAAAATGAGAGGATACACAGATACATTGAGGAAGAAATTACTAACTAAAAAGGAACTAGCACTTGATAATTTGGCAGGATCTTGGCCTATCCAGACTGCAAAGGATGCTAAAAGTGGAAAACTCATTGTTATGAAAGCATTTCTTGGGATAGCAAGACAACTTTTTGTTGAAAGACATTAGGTACGTGGATCCAATGGATCCAATCAAACATCTCAGCAGAAGCCAAGGAGAGAGAGGAAGTTATCCACAAAGGATCCATGAATAAACCTCTTGACACACACAAGAGACCCACAGGGATTTTAAGAATGATTTAGCGGTAGAAACACAGCCAGCCTAGACTGAGAAGGACAGACTTGGGACAAAATGAAGGAAGGTTATCAGCCTTCTGGGATTCTACAGGCAGGAAATGGGCTGATGGAGCTGCATGGCTGCAAACATGTGCTAACCTGTAAGAAGTAATGATTTAGAGAGCAGACCTGCAGGATCACAGGGAGGAGCCATGGGCCCAGAGGGCAGAGCATCAAGACACAGAGAATTATCCTCAGGCCTTGAAACTTAATGGAATTTACCCTGTTGGGTTTTCAACTTGCTTATTAGGGCCAGCTACCCTTTTATTCCTGCCAATTTCTCCTTTTTGGGATGACAGTGTTTATCCTATGCTTGTCCCACCACCTGTAATTTGTTTACAGGTCCACAGATGGGGAGGGATGATGCCCCAGAAGAGACCACATACCTAATCTAGATGGCTGTGATGATGAGATTTGGGACTTTTGATATGATGTTTAGAACAGATTTTGGACTTACTGATGCCATACTGAGTTGAAACTTTGGGGAATATTGGGAGGGGGTGAACATACTTGGCCTGAAAGATGAACATTAGTTTCTGGGTGCCAGAGGGCAAACTGCAACAGATTGAACAAACAGTGGCTCTAAAAAGGTACATCTAAGTTGTTACCTCTGGTACTTATGAAGGTTACTTAGAAACAGGGTCTTTAAAGACGGAATTAAGTTAAAGAGTTTGACATGAGACGGCTTATATCTTATCTTACAGACATAAGAAGGCTAGTGTCCTTACAAGAGAAAAACGCAGACAGGATACATACAGGTTTGACATCATACAGCCATCTGAAGATGGGGGCAGAGACTGGAGTGATGTGTGTACAAGTCAATGCATGCTAAGGGTTGACAACAGCCACCAGAAGCTGGAAAAGGCAAAGGATTCTCCCTTAAAGCCTCTGGAGGGAACGTGGCCTTACTGATGCCTTAATTTGGGGCCTTTGGCCTCCTGAACTGTGAGACAACAAATTTCTGTTGCTTTAAGCCACCAAGGTTGTGGTAATTTCTTGTGGCAGACCTAGGAAACAAATATATTGGGTGAATCATATATTAGAATTCTTTCTACTGTTTTTATAATATTTCTTTTAGGTCACACTGTATCCAAATTAAAAGTTTAAAATAAATACCCAATAATGTCTTTAGCTTGGCATGGAAATCCTTTTACATAACCTCATACCTGCCTCTTAAAACTCTGGACATTATATTACTCTATGTCTCAGACCACCTGTATTATAAAATAATTTAAAATACCTCCTTCATGGCACTTACAGAAATAAATTTTAGCCACCTGGGAAATTCACCACCATGAAATTTAACCTAAGAATTCTCTGCACAGTACATTTATGCCATCTTTTTATTTTTATTTTTTTTAATTAAAAAAAAAAAGTTTTTTTAATATTTATTTTAGAGAGAGAGCATACGAGAGGGGGAGGACCAGAGAGAGAGGGAGACAAAGAATCCAAAGCAGGCTCTAGGCTCTGAGCTGTCAGCATAGAGCCCAACATGGGGCTCAAACCCACAAACTGTGAGATCATGACCTGAGCCAAAGTCAATGCTTAACTGACTGAGTCACCCACGTGCCCCTATGCTATACCTGGACTCATATAAAAGAATTTGGCCCATCAGAAAATTACTTCTCAAAAACAATTTTAAATATGCCTTATTTATGAAAACTTACCAGCTGCTTTTCACTCACAGGAGACAGAGGTGGGGGAGCAGTTTCTCCAGAAGAGGGACGCCAGGTCAAGAGCCTTTAAAATACCAAAATCACACCAGCCATTCAAAGTGTGAAACAGGACACATCCAACATGTTTTCAAACAGGCAGAAAAAAGTCACAAAAATATGCCAAAAACAATATAATCCTTCTTTGATTACTGCTAAAAGCAATTTACTTAAAAAAAATCTAGTGAAAAGTTTAAAATATGTACCTACAGGAAACAATTAACTAGCATAATTAAAAGGGTACTCTGGTCATCATTTTAAAAAAACAAACCCAAAAACTACTTCTGAAAAGTTTCAAAAACTTTATACTAAGTATTAATGCCATTAAATATTCTCTATAAACTGAGACTGAAAAAAGTTTGAGACTTTTAAGAAATTCATAGAACTCTTTAGATTCTATTCTTTTAAAGTTTATTTATTTGAAAGACAGAGAGCAAGCACGTGCATACTCGACAGCAAGTGGGGGAGGGGCACAGAGAGAGAAAGAGAATCCCCAGCAGGCTCCATGTTGTCAGCACAGAGGCTGGCGCAGTACTCAAACTCATGAATTGTGAGATCATGACCTGAGCCGAGATCAAGAGTTGGACGCTTAACTGACTGCGCCACTCAGGCGCCCTGATTCTATTTTTTTTTTAAATGTATAACAATAAGTGAAATAAAATTTGGCCCCAAAGGGGAAATGACTTGCCACCCCTGGATTGGGTACTTGGAATAGAAAGATGATTAAGGCCCAAGTTCTTGCTTGTGAGAAGCAGGAGCTCCTGGGAATTGGGTAGATAGGGGCTAGAGACATCATTTCAGTTCCATATAGAAAGAACTCTGGCACAGTCTCTATGAAGAAATGCTTATTAGATGATCTTTAAGATCACATACCTTAACTTGAATGTGTAGTTCAATAAACTAAAACAGAAGCAGTTTTTTTTTTTTAAAGTATTTTTCTTAATTTTTTTTTTTAACATTTATTTATTTTTGAGAGACAGAGCATGAACAGGGGAGGGGCAGAGAGAGAGGGAGAAACAGAATCTGAAACAGGCTCCAGGCTCTGAGGGGTCAGCACAGAGCCCGATGTGGGGCTCGAACTCACAGACCGTGAGATCAAGACCTGAGCCGAAGTCGGACACTTAACCGACCGAGCCACCCAGGCGCCCCAAAACAGAAGCAGTTCTTAAAAACAAAAAAAAGAAAGTTCAGCCTGACTGGTTTTTGTGACGACTTCAAAGGGAAAATGGCTAGGCAAGAATTCATACCATCTTTTGACATAAGGGCTACAGATAAACTCACAAAAATGGGTCATCTGTCAGGTAGGTTGCTCCAACAAAATGTGTACCAAAAAAATAAGAAAATCTGACCAACAGTTGTCCCTTCAGTGTATGACCACCTACAGACTGCTTTCCTAGAGGTGTGTCCCTTTTGTTTAACTTCTGATGTCCTATTTATTAGGATACTTAGAAGGGGATCATGTCAGCGCAAATATACTTAATTCATGTCAAGAAAAAGTTTATGATGTTTAAAAATGTGAATCATAGTTTTCATGTAAGTTTTATACACATACATATACATATACATGTGCCTACTTAATAAGATGTTTTAAGTACGCTTTAAATCATCTTATTCAGCAGATTTAAAAGTAGTAGATTTGTTGGGGCGCCTGGGTGGCGCAGTCGGTTAAGCGTCCGACTTCAGCCAGGTCACGATCTCGCGGTCCGTGAGTTCGAGCCCCGCGTCAGGCTCTGGGCTGATGGCTCAGAGCCTGGAGCCTGTTTCCGATTCTGTGTCTCCCTCTCTCTCTGCCCCTCCCCCGTTCATGCTCTGTCTCTCTCTGTCCCAAAAATAAATAAACGTTTAAAAAAAAAAAAAAAAAAAGTAGTAGATTTGTGCAGGTCAGAGAGCCCCAGAAGCTGAGCTGGTAAGTAAATTCAATTATGTTGTACAAATAATCCAGGTGCTATTTATTAGTCATTTAGTGACACTATGTCTTAGTCTCTCCACTGATAAAAACTCCTTCACTACAATTCCAAACTAATCCATCATAAGATGACAATTAACTGTAAAATATATTTGCAAATTAATTTTCCTTAGATTATTAAATCTACAGTAACTGAAATATATGTTGAGTTTTTCACCCCCCAATCCAAAACCACTGCTTGCTTTAATCTGGATAATTAAAGCCTTGTACAAGTAGAATCACTTCAATGTGACCAATAACCACATGACCAATCAGAGTCAAGGGTCTGGTTTATAAATAATCTAATTCAAGTATTTGTATTTGTTATGGCTTATAGGAGTCTGATTTGCAATAAATGCAAATTCATGGAACACAGGTATTTTTAAAAGGATTTCTGTTGTAAGAAATCACTAGTTACTATGAAACTTTTTAGGTCGATCATTCAATATACAAATATAAAGTTGTAAAAAATCTTCTTACGCATGTGGGATTGTGGTTTTGAAGATATCCAGTGTGCAGTTACAAGTTTTATCCCAGATTTCTAGGGTAAACTTCTCACCATTGAGAATAACAACATTCTCTAAGCAGTTTGTACCAGATCGTGCTAACTGCTCATTGTCTAGAAAAGAAAAGAGCAATTCATTTATGTATTGCCAGGGCCATATTTAACACTTTGTGTCACTATTTGCTATAGACCTACCTTGCTGCACACACCAGTAGAGCTGGGCAAAAATATCATCCAAAAGTACATCACTGAGTACTTCTAAATACTGGGTGAACACATCACAAATTGCATAAAGTGCATGATTACAAGTTGTAGTCATCCATTCAGCTTTCTAGGGGGAAAAGTTGTTAAAAGAAGGTCAGACCATTCATCAACCACCAGAATTCAAGAAAAAAATTTTGCATATTTAAAAGCTAAGTCTGTTCACGTTCCTTTCAGAGCACTCACTTCCCTCTAGAATATTCCATTCACTTCAACTCAGTACGAGATCTATTTTTCTCCACTGTTCCATAACCATCTACATATAAAATACTTTAACTATTTTTTCATTATTTTTGATTATAAAAAATTACCACTGAATCGTCTTGCTATTAACATTATGACTTCTCAAAACAATATGCATGAATAACAACAGCTGTCCTTGCTCTAGAATATGACAGAATATAAAAGAGAAATAAACAAGAAGAAAATGATAAGAATTTATCCAAATGGGTTTAGCATAAATTTAAAATAAAACTTTTGTGAAGTATGGTTCTTGAAAATACCGTAAATGGTGAATAAGGCCATACAAAGTAAAGAATTTATTTTTCTCAAGTATATAAAGACTAATCTGGACTGATATTTTCATATACAGTTTTGTGACAGTGCATATACATCTGTCTACTTAATAAGACTTTTTAAGTAAGAGTCTACCTGTAGATTTAAAAAACACAGATCTAAAGTAAAACTTTGTACAGGCCAGAGAGCCCCCAAGGTTTGCATTTAATATAGCTGTATGAGACAAAATAAGAAAACTTGAGGCTCTCTCTTCCCTACATTTACTGAAATGCATACTATAATTGGTTTGTAGTAAAATACATTGAAATAAAATAAGACATCACTATGTATTCTTTATTCACTTCAGAATAAGAGGTCACTATGAATACTAAAAGAAAACTACTGGTATTTGTAGTTGTGGCAATATTAAAATGAAAAAAAGAAACCAGGGGCATCTGGGTGGCTCAGTTGGTTAAACGTCCGACTTCAGCTCAGGTCATGAACTCGCATTTTGTGAGTTTGAGGCCCGTGTCGGGCTATATGCTGACAGCCCAGAGCCTGGAGCCTGCTTCGGATTCTGTGTGTCCCTCTCTCTCTCTGCCCCCCGACCCCCGCTCGTACTCTCTCTCTCAGAAATAAGATTTTTTTTAAAAATGTTTTTTAAAAGAAAAAAGAAACCAGAAGTCACTGAAAACAACCAATTCATTAACTCAGTTCTATCCCCAAATACTGTTCTTTATTTATAAAGACATACCTTTTATTATAATGAAAAATTCTCTAGTTTTTTTTCTTTTCCATGTCCTTAATTTGAAATAGTAAACTGTATTAGGGAAAGTATTAAGAACCTTTTAACTTGACTGTGTTAAATAAAATTTCATTTTCTCTTACCTCTGTCTGCTGTTCTGGTAATTTCATGTTGTCAAAGATTCTGAAAACAATTCTAAATAAATCCTGCCACCAGTGTTTTTCGTAAGTGTGGCCATAAGTTTTCATTATTTCGAACATTACTGTTAAACCCCTAAAATGATAAAACACAAGTAGAAAAACTGGAATACAAAAAAGCATGCTGCATCAGAATCCCCTCTTAAAATAGTTTTCAGAGTTCATAAAGCTAGTGAAAAAGTTTAGAAATAGTTTTAAACTAACACGTGATATTCAATTTTAAGAAATTTCAGCTATAGGGATGCCTGGGTGGCTCAGTTGGTTAGGCGACCGACTTCGGCTCAGGTTATGATCTCACAGTACCTGAGTTCGAGCCCCGCGTCGGGCTCTGTGCTAACAGCTCAGGGCCTGGAGCCTACTTCAGATTCTGTGTCTCCCACTCTCTCTAACCCTCTCCTGCTCATGCTCATGTGTCTCTAACCCTCCCCTGCTCATGTGTCTCTCGGTCTCTCAATTATAAATAAACGTTTAAAAAAAAAATTTCAGATATAAACTAGGTTTCTTTAGGATGCATTTTGTAGGGAAAAACTCCAAAAGCCTTGGCCTTAAAATGTTTTATTTCATCTTTCCTTCACTCCCACCCTACCCTTCCCACATTTAAAAGTTGTAAAAGGTGGGGCGCCTGGGTGGCGCAGTCGGTTAAGCATCCGACTTCAGCCAGGTCACGATCTCGCGGTCCATGAGTTTGAGCCCCGCGTCAGGCTCTGGGCTGATGGCTCAGAGCCTGGAGCCTGTTTCCGATTCTGTGTCTCCCTCTCTCTCTGCCCCTCCCCCGTTCATGCTCTGTCTCTCTCTGTCCCAAAAATAAATAAAAACGTTGAAAAAAAAATTTTTTTTAAGTTGTAAAAGGTAATAAAGATTGCAAAAGATCATCATAAAATGAAGTTCTGGAAAATTTATAGGACTTTTTAGCTAACACTATAATTGTTCATATAGCATCTGTAAACAAAAGGAATTATAAAACTGACTATGACATTCATGTGAGTGGTTTGCTGCCCACCGTATTCTAGGCACAGAGCAATGCCTGTCACCCATGAGGCACACAGTAAGTATCTATCGAATAAACTGCTTAGTATCACATTCACTATCTTTTGCTTAAGTGTTAAAACTAAAACTCAACATTGTCTTCCTGATTCTTTATTATCTTCCTCTAAATAATAATGCCTTCAGGTAATCATTAAAAAGCTTGACCTTTTCTCTATATGTTATTTTCTTCTAACAAAATATAGGTATCCCTCCATTTAAAAAGGCTTATATTTTAAAAAGTCTGATGATAAGCCATTACAAAATTTTCTCTAAAATGTCTGATGATAAGCCATAATAAAATTTTCTCTGAAAGACTCCGTAAGGACTGGTTCACAGTCCAGCTCATTTACTGCTGTGCTACCTCAAGGCCTTGTACAAGTCTGGCACATAACAGGCTCTAAATAAATATTTGTTAAATAAACATGTAAAGTAACATAGTAGTAGTTTGGTCCTACAGTAAGTTCACAGCACTTTATCTGACCCATAAGATATCTAATGTATATAACGAAAAGTAAGGAAACCGTAGTAAACAAATTCCTACAGAAGAAACACCCTCTCTTCTGTGGGAGAAGCCTATCAAAACTCCTTGTTTCCCTACAACAGAACAAGGCTCCTTTTTCCTCCATCTCCTGAGCTTGAAATCCATTTCTTCCCACTCTAAGTAACTGGATGCCAACTCCCACAGCTAGGGTAAGAGGAATCCTGTTTCTTCCAGGCCCCGAAAGCAAACACAAATCCACAGAGGCTTCCAAGGATTTTCACTGTTCAAGAAGTCTTTTTGAAACCAATACTTAAGTTGCTGATATAGGGAAAAATAGTGTTTGAGACCCTAGGTTAATGAACCAATCCTAAATCCATAGAATTTTGAGGCAATCAAATAAAAACATATGTGAAAGTACTGTGTAATTAATCTGTTACACAAATCATGGCATTACATTTTAGTGAGAGAGAGAGTGTGCATGAGTGGGGAAGAGGGGCAGAGGGAGAGACAAAGAATCTTTAGCAGGCTCCACTCTCAGTGTGGAGCTGACGTGGTGTTTGATTTCACAACCATGAGATCATGACCTGAGCCAAAATCAAGAGTTGGGCCTTTAATTGACTGAGCCACCCACGTTCCTCCATGGTACTACATTTTTAAATGTAGTCTACGTATCAGCCCTTACAAATCCTGGAATGAAATAAGAAAAAGCCATTACTGAACAAAGTTTACTCATATTTTTCCTCTCCTTTACTAGCTAGAATATATATTTTCTCTTCTCTTTAACAACTAAAACTCATCCATTATCTGAACATGGGATATGGCAAGAAGGAAAGCAGGATGATCCCAGACAAGGACAGGCTCAAAAGCTAAGAAAGCAGGTAGGTCCTTTGTCAAATAAATTTCTACAAACAAACAAGGGCAGTGAGGGGGTACTGAGTTTATAAGACTTGTCCATCATGATATGTTGGTTGCTCCACTGAGGTGGCTGGACAACAGAAAATTGTAAATCTTAATAATTTAGATTAATATGAATCAGGGGTTATCTTGAAGTTTATCAAGCTCCTAACAGGTCCACTGCCAAATAATCCTCAATGTCTAAATGCAAAATAAAATGCTATATAAGTTCTTATGATTACTAAATTCTCTGACAAATTCCCAAGGTTTGAGTCTTATTTTGGATTACTTAACCTAATTTTATAAAAATCTCTTTTTATAACAAATAAAAATGAAGTTTCTTAGGATATGTATCACACTTAACCTTGGATGGGGATGAGGCTGGTTTTAGCATAAAGTGAGGAAGGAGAAATTCATTCCTTCATTATAGTTCTATCATTGATATGTTATAAGTTTGTATGTACTACCGGTATAGTTTAAAAATCCTGGGGCGCCTGGGTGGCGCAGTCGGTTAAGCGTCCGACTTCAGCCAGGTCACGATCTCGCGCTCCGTGAGTTCGAGCCCCGCGACGGGCTCTGGGCTGATGGCTCAGAGCCTGGAGCCTGTTTCCGATTCTGTGTCTCCCTCTCTCTCTGACCCTCCCCCGTTCATGCTCTGTCTCTCTCTGTCCCAAAAATAAATAAAAACGTTGAAAAAAAAAAAAATTAAAAAAAAAATCCAATGAAGTTAATTGCCGAAATGACTAATGATTCTCCCTAAAAAGAAGATGGGATACATAAAAGAAGGAATTTATTTAAACACAAAACTGAACTCATGATGCCTCAAGCACTTGTTGACAGATAACAGGATATACAAACTGGCAATTTCAATTTGGCAGTCAAAAAGGTAGTTATGATAAAAATTTTACTATGGGATTGACAGAAGCTGTAACATGAGAAGTACATACTAAATGCTTATCCAGTTACATTACATCCATTATCGTTTCTTTGCAAATGGACTATACATTCATATAGATCTTTTAATGAGAATGTATTTTTGAAAGATCTCACTTCTTTTTAATAGACCTACATTATTCAAAACTGTTACTGACCAGTCTTCAAAGAGAAATGGTTCTTTATCTAAAATCCACCAAGCATGTGCATTTGGAGATTCTTCTAGCATTCATCAGGAAATAAAATAAATTTTGCCACTAACTTCAATTTCTAATTGGAAACAAACATATGAAAAGATAGAATGTGTGAACAAATGAACACAGAAGCTAAAACTCAAAGTAGGATGCTATAAGAAAATGTTAAGGAAAAGTAACGTATTTCCATTTTTACTGTTGCTCCATTTAACATATTTTAAAATCTGTAATAATTGCTATATCGATAAAACACCTGACTTACGACGGACTTAGGGCCTTTAACTATCGAACTTGTGTTCACATGAGAAAAGTTAATTTAAGTCAAAATGAGCCTTTCAAAATTGTAGTTACAAACACTGATTGTTACCTGGTTCTTACATCTAATTTGCATCTGTTGATGATACAGGATAACTCAAAGAGAATTGGGAACCATCCTCTCACCCACACCCTGTCTTCAGGCGCCACATTCATATCATCGCTTGTGTATTCCTTGAAAGCCTTCAAGAAGAAAGGTAGATATACTTAAGGCAAAATATAACACCTGTACAATATTTCACCAAACAAATTTTTTAAATGTTTTACAAATTCAAAGTCAGCACTTTGATAAATAACAATTTATAAAAAGATGGAGATTACAACTGCTTAAAAAGAGCACTGGACTAGAATCCAAAAGTTGGTTTCAGCTTCAACTCTGACACCAGCTTTTCTGCTTTTTACGCCAGGTTAAATCAGGTTTCCATTTTTATCATTTCATGGTTATGACACCATGCAGCCACACTAACCACCCCTGGGAAGTGTGAAGGTCAAATGAGTTGATGTATGTAAAAAGTACTAAGCACCCCATAGGTCCAAGTTGGTGTGCAGTAAAATCTTTCTGTAATGCACCACTTTTCTTGATGACAGTTACAGAGACAGATTCAGATACGCAAGATAAGGCTGGCAGCCAATTTGACCTTTTACTTCACTGTTTAAGCCTACAATCACCCAGACAGTCAACCTCAGTACTGCACAGCACAACATGTAGGGAACAGTATACAGAAATGGCTAAAAACATAGGCTTGGTTCAAACCCTAGGTCTCCTTTACTAGCCCTGCAACCATGGAGACATTTTTTTACTTTAACTTCTCTGTGCCTCAGATGCCTTATCTGTATGGGGCTATAAACACTACCTATCCCATAAAGTGTAGAAGACTAAACAAGTTAATACATGTGAAATACTCAGAAAAACACCTGACACCTTTAAAAAATAATAGCTATCATTTCTAAACACTTCAGTCAGAATCAAGCTTAGATAATTTTGGGGTTTACTGAAAAATAAATGCTTCATATACCCTGGATTCCCAAATAAACTTCTATCTCAGACTGGAAATAAATACTCAGCATAATTTTGTTTACTAAATGACGCTATACCTGAGGTCTATCAGACACATATTTTGCACAATGGCGAATAAGTCGAATTGCTTCCATACTTGTGTCTGGGAAAGCTGCATTGCACGCAAATTCAGACAAACACTTCACTGCATCCTGGAAAGAATCAATGGTCGCTGGAAAGTGTTTTTCAAACACAAGAGCTAAAAGGGTGGAAAATATATCAAGATAATTATAATTTTTCAATTATTCTTACCTGCAACAAAAAACATCAACCCCTAGATGTAAGAGCATACTTAACGGTTAAGGGTTTCGATGTCTAACAGACATGGCGTCATGTCTGTCATCACCGCTTACTTGACTGCTTTGAGTAGTAGGGGACAGGGACACAGGTCTGTGTTCTGTTTACACTATAAACCCAGCACCTAATGCAGTGACAGTACACAGTAGGTACTGAATCAGCAGATCTTGAATTACATTTAACCCATCTGTATTTCAGTTTCTTAATCTATAAAAAATGATAATGGTCATCATTATCTTTCAATCAGCCTTAACTTACATCTTAAGTATTTCATTCTCCTTTACAGTCAAAGGAGGCTGTGTAACATAGTGGTCAAAAACCTTTCCCTGGCTTTGAATCCCAACTCCATCATTCACCCTAACCTCACTGGGCCCGAGTTTCCTGATCTATTAAAAAGGGGATAATGAAAATACTTGTCTCATAGAGCTGTTGTGAAGACTGAAGGAAACACATTCAGAGTATGTATTGTGTTTGCCATACAGTAAACGTTCAATAAATGTTAACTATAATAATGTAGTAACAGTATTACAGTCATTACTCTGTTTCTACAGGCAAAACTTAGTAAACTTAAAGCCATAACAGGTCCATAATCTTACACTTGTATTATCTCTGGAACACATTTTTTTGTTTTGTTTTGTTTTTAACTTGAACACAGCCAGAAGAATACTCACTGACAATGTGCCCTGTTGTTTGGAATGCAAGTTCCACTATGCTTTCATCTTGATCAGATGCAGCTAGATGAAACACAGAGAAAATGTTCTTCCATCCGGACCGAATGTTAGCAGCTTGAGAATTAACCATCTGTGCTATACAACGTACAACCATATCTCGAATTGTTGGGGACCTAAAATATTAATATAATTGCGTGGATATACACACAGATAAAACCCATCAGTTTTTTTTCCTTTCTTCTGTTTCTCCCCCTTCTGTGGAAAATAATAAAGTATTTTTACGATATTAAGCAATTCAACAAATGTAATACCTGTTTCGTTTCATTATATGTTCAAAAGGTCTTAAGAAATCCTTCTGGAATCTGAAATTAGCAAGCTCCCCTTTCTCTAAGAACTTCATTGACAATTGCCTCAAGGAGTCTACTGCAAAAATAGCTACATCTTCATTAGGATTACAGCCAACCTGTAATGGCAACAGAAATATAGGGTGCTAATGTCAGCAGTGAAAATCCATCTCTTCATTTTTCTTTTAGGAAAAGTATAGAACTCATAGCATAGACAGGTAAATCCTAAGATTCTCCACAAAGACACTAGGTGTACTGATAATATTTCTCAACAAGAAAAATACACTTTAACTAAATTCTTAAAACTTAAGGTAATCACTTCTAAAAAGAAAAACAGGATTCAAACGGTTTTCTATTTTCAATTACAAAAATGTAATTTAGAAAAGCTAGAATAGGAAAAAGCCTCAATTACATTATAAGGAATTTCAAAACACGAAAAATATTACAAATGTAAGCGTATCTTCTAATTATTCAAATACCTTATTAAAATGATCACCAATAACTTCCCAAATTCGAGACCACTGCAGTCTTATTCTTCCCATGTTGTAGTATGATATTTCTACTATTTTTTGTAGACTAAACATTCTTGGGTGTGTAGTGGAAAGTAATTCATCCATAGACACAGCACAGAGCCAACGGACAAAATCCACTATAATATAAACAGATATACATTTTTTCAGCTTTCAAGTTTTTTTAGCCAAAAAACCAATTTGTAAGTGAAATAAATGTATATACTTACCAATAGCATTTCCATCTAGCCTTGTTGACCCTGTAAATATTCTAAAGAAAGAAAACCATAATTCAAAAATTTATAAAGTCCGACTTCTGCTACATCAATTCAGAAGTAAGTAGCCTGAGGTATTAGCTACTTTAAATCTGTTTTAAGGGAACAAAAACATCAGGTAGTCAAATGAATATTTTATCATATAGTTTAATAACAAGTATAGTTTGGATGTTCCTCCATCCCTCCTTCATATTCAGTAATATGAGTAAGAATATATCGTTGTAATTTTACTAGTAAATTTACAAACACTAGATGGGTATCTCATGAAACTCTAAGAATAAAAAAATATCAATTTGTAAAACGAATTAAACATTGGCACACTACAAAACAGAAGGTTTTTCATTTTTCCTGATTATCTACTAGCATTAAACACATTCTTAAAATGGAAATTTCGACTTTTTTACAAGTATCATATGTTTGGTTAGAAAACTCATTTATGTTAAATTACAAGCAATTTAAGAGAAGCTTGTAAAATAGTCTCCAATTGTTTAACCAAGAAGTGGCTAAATAACTTTTCTTAGAAAATTCAAATATTTAGAGTTAAGATATGCTGTCCAGCTTTGCCCAGCTTTCTTCACTCAGCAATTTTTGTTTCAAAGTTTCATAGAAGATTTCAGCATAAATCTACTATATTAGCCCTCTTTTAAAAGTCTGCATTTTTACCCATCCTCTGGGTTTGTAACCGAGGGTTCGATGTGACTTCCAGGATGAACTGATATTCAATTTAAATTGTGTACCATAGGCTTTGCATGACAAAATGGAAACCTTAAAGGCGGGAGCAGGTCAAATATTAAACTTAGAAATAAAAGTAATCATAGTGACAGTAATGGCTACCAACAATTACAAGGTGGGTACTATTCTAAGTGTTTTATATGTATCTACTCACTTAATAATCACAAATACTCTGTGAAGTGGGTATTTGTAGACTTTCAATTTTATCAACATAGAAACTGACACATAAAGGTATTTTAATAACTTCCTCAACGTCACAGAACTTGTAAGTGCTACAGCCAAGATTCAAACCGAGACGGGCACACTCCAGAATCCACTCTCTTAACTACTTTGCTGTATTACCTCACACTTAACCTGAGCAAAACATGAACATTTAAAATATATTGTTTTTTTCCTATTATGTCCACTATATCCATGTTCTGAATATATAATGGTTTTTTAACCTTAGTGCCCTTGAATGTCTTTCCACGTGTTCTGGCAATGAGTAACAAAAACACGACAGGAAAAACAGCCTAAAAACTGACAAGATGATAACTCAGAAACTGATCTGCTAAAGGGATATTTTAAAACTTCCTCTACTGCTCTTGTCAGAACAAAACAATACTTCAAAGATCTGGCTGAGAACACAATCTGGGGGAAAAAATAGAATAGTAAGTCCCCATTTAATCCAGTGGATAGACTGAATTCCGAAACTAAAAATATACAAAGCCTACAAAGTTCTCACATGAACAAAAATGAAAACTGCTAGAGTGCACATTATAAATGTCATTAGCTGATTTCTCAAACTACTGTATTCTCATAGGCAGTGGCTATTAAAAAAAAATACCACAAACGGAGACATATAAAAATTAGATAGTATATAGGAGAAACAACAGGAAAAGGAAGAAAAGAAAAAAAAATTTATTTAACTGAGAAGGAAGCATATGGCAAAGAGTAAAAGGGATAAAGAACAGAGTTGCATATAAAGGGAGATTATATGCAACTACAGGGGAAAGAAGCAACAAATTCTCTGAAGGCCCTGAAATAATGGTGAACAAGAACAGGGAAATACCAGTAGCAATCAGACAGGTTCTATAGACTTAGGGTGATAGGAGAAGTTAGGGGGAGCATGCATCCTGAAAAAGGGCATTCAAATTCCTACTCACTTTGGTAGCCTCTGAGGGGTCACTCTATGTCTAGTAATGCTCCACTACAGATAAGCCATACGGTAGAGCACAGAAGTCTGTGGAGGCATTTAAAGTTAAGCCTTCATAAACTAAGGCAGGAGAACAGAGCTATGTTTCACAAAATCAGTCTAGGAAATGGACTCTACATTCCCTGTATGAAAAGCAAAGGACAGACGCATGAGAACCTTGTGTGTTAATATTAAAAGACATGCTCTGAAAAGTACTAGCAGGAAAATAGAATAGATTACTGCTTCATCCACAAAATGAAAGCACTGTGGCAACACAAAAAAAAAGGGGGGCGGGGGGACAAAACCTGCAGATTCTGAATCACATACATGTTAAACTGTATGCACTAAAGAGGCAGACTAAATTACTGTATTATGTAAAAAGTTTTCACAGTGAAAATATCAGAGGTAACACTTATTTCTTAGACCTAACTGGAAGACGCTTGTGAGCAAATACAGTTGGGGATGAGCTACATGTATTTTCTGATAGGTGACAGAATGTTCCAAAGTGTGAGATGGGCCAGTATAAAGCTAGATTTGGTGTGCTTAAAGTTAATAAAAACAAAAACTATGGTACTGTTTTTTCACTTTTAGCAGTAAATCATTCCTGGACAAAACCTATTCCTGCACAGGTTAGTAATACTCACTAACCTGGTCTAGTTTAGCAATGTCTAACAAATTCTACCCTAGCAAATCCTAAGGATCAGGTACTATAGATTAAACAGCCCATATTCTCCTAAATTCTAATGGTTTGGGATTCCTAAAACAAAAGTGGAGAAAATTTTATCATCTTAAAACTTTCACTTTTTATTTTTTATGTAGGAGAAATTTTAATAGAATGAAACAATTTTACATATATTATTTGTTCCATCATATTCAAAGCCCAAGTTACAAAGAGCTAACAAACACAAATCACAGATTTTTAATGGAGATGTCTGAGGCTGAATGGGACAACTTTCATTTTAAATAATAAATTAATCAGTCTCCATTGTGACGCTCCAAAAGGCAAAAATGCATTCCAAGAGGTAGTTTGGAAGTCAGTGTTTTAGTGTGACAGACTCCGCAGCTTTGATCCCGCTTCTTGCTTACCATAGCAAGAGTATTTGCCTATACGCCCCTGGTTCCTTTTACATTAGGGGAACACGCATGCCCCAGGGCATGTGGGTCCTCCAAAGGGTGTCCTTTGTCTCTTCCACATGAAAAAATTAGAGACCTTGGAAGGAATGTTATTCTGAAGCTTTGTGGAATTCAGATACCCATCTTACAGCTTTTAATAGAATCATATACGTTTTCTGTTAAGAAACAGAAGCTATACATAATTAAGCAAAAAACAGCTACTTTGATTATTCATGTTTACTTCTTTACTTGTCATAACAGATTATTCATAACAACAGGCCTAAGGACAAGAAAATTACTTTTTGCAGGACAAGTACAGAACTTTCCAGGGTGATGCCTAACAATATTTGCATCACTGTCTTGAATATCTAGGTTATCTAAATGACTTGGCTTATGAATTAGTCAGGATATTACATGTGAAAATAAACTCATATATTCAGAAACAGAAGAAATTTAATGAGAAAGTGAAAGGCACCAAATAAGAATATAATCTTATAATAAAATCAAAGACGTCACTTTTAATGCTTTCTCTATGAGCTAAAATTTCAATATTGAGGTTTTGTATAAAGTTGGACACTGGATTTATGGTCATAGAAGTTATCTGGCGATGATGAATTTGAGACAACAAAGTACTAATAGAATTTGTGTTAAGAATCCTCTAAAATATAAATTCTTAAAATGGAGAGGCATATCATTTGTTCAAATGAGAGACATGTCTCCCTGCAACAAACAGAGGATGTATAGGTAAATTAGAACTTGGTATGGTCATGTAAAATATACTGTGGAAACAAATAGGTAAAATGTTGACTCTTGCCTGAAGAGATTCTCATAATGATAGTGAAGAGGATTTTTTGCAAGTCCAGAAAATAATTTGGAAAAAAGCTACCGTGATGGCAGAAGGGGAGACATTACACTGTTCTACAGTTGTACATGCAGGCAGAGAGGTGGAGAGGATAAGAGTGTACACTCAAGAGATATGCTGCCTGAACGTATGTCCTGGCACCACTCCTCAAATTCTCTGTGGATGAAACGGTTATCACAATAATAATCAAGACAAGATTAACTGTGGGGATGAGCAAGTTATTTGATCCCCCTCTGTCTCCGTTTCCTCATTTGCAAATTAACGATGCTACTACTACTACTCATCTCGTGAGGTTACTGGAAGGATTAAATGAAATAATACATGTAAAGCACTTTGCAAAGTGCCAAGCACGTTGTTACGCCTTCAAGTTACACAGTACATGTCAGATGATACACAATCTTTCTTCAGCCTTCACAAGGTAAAGGTAAATGACCTCCTTCCCCTAAAAAAAAAAAAGGTCAGCAAACAGACATTACAGAGTTCTTTTTCAAGGAAAAAGTTGCAAGGAATATTTGGAATGTTTTCCAAGGTCAGTAGCCACTGAACACCCTAGTTCAATCTGTACTTAGAGCAAAATGTTTCATCTGAAGTAAATAATGGATTAGTGTAAGTTTCCAAGCACCGAGAAAAAAAAAATACATGTTATATTTTTTTAAAGTTTCATCAGAAGCAATAAAAAAAAATTTAAGTATCAGTGATGTAAAATGTTAAGTTTCAAATATTTGGGCACTCACCTAGAAAAACCTAACCTTCAAAAGAACATTTAGTATGGGTTTACTGTTAGAAAACAAACTAAATACGAGGAATACTTGATAGTGTATACAATATACAAATTCCAAAGTCCTTTCCAAAGAAGTCTGCAATGAGAATTGCCACCAAATCCTTCATTTATTCATAATGCAGTCATATCAAATAGGACTTGAAGACACTTTACATTCCATTTTCACACAGGGATAGTAAGAGCAATTAGTTTTCTATAAAAGACATAAAATGTGTTCTTTTTCATCAAGATTACCTTTCCCTAATGCCCACTAATATCTATTTTCAGTTCAATTTTCATATTGTTTATCTCCTTCCTATATTCCATGATCTATAGAGAAAAATTATAGGTATTTCATCATGTAAATTGCAATATATCACAATACAGTCTTAATTGCTTCAGGAAAGTTATTCTGGCAATAGTGTTTTTTTTTGTTTTTTTTTTTTTACTACTACTGAGCAAAATATATCTAAATGCTACAGAATAATAATTGTATTCATTCAAAAAGGGAATAAAATAAATACCTTACCTATCTACAGCAACAACGACACTTTGAGAACTGGTTTCTCCAATGGATTCCTGAATACTTGCTATCTGCTTCCAGTCCACATTTCCTCCAACTACCACACATAAAAAGAGAGTCATTTCAGCTTGAAAATAATTCAGTGGAAGAATACACCTACAATTCTAAAACATATTTCTGAAATCAGTTATTTTCCTAATGAGAGAAATAAAGCTTTTGGTGAATAGTGACCTATTTGGCCTCAGGGACCTATATCAAAGCCAAATGTGCTTAATTAGCTATACTAAGTGGCATACAGACATGGATGGTTATAAAGACAAATTGTGCTTGCAAAGATCAACAAATTAAGGGCACTGAGAATTTAGATCACAAAATTAATCACACTAGGCACAATTTCCCTTAATGTTGAAGAAATAACACTAACTGCACTCCCAATGTGATCTTCTTAGGTTGATTCCCAATGCCATATGATTGGATCTCCCTGTCATTTAATCTCCAGTCCTCTATTTACAGATGCTTATTGGAAATTATACCTGTATTTTCTAACATCCCCTTATTCAAAAGAATTATTTTTCTTTCCCTCAAAAACTGGTCCCACATGTTGGACAGCAGAACAATTTCCCCAACTTCCAAACTCTTAACCTCTCCATCACCTTGGATACCTTTCCCTTCCTCCACCAGTTACTAAATCTTTCTTTTGACCTGTTTTTGGTATCATTTCTTCATTTTCATTCCTACTCAGTTTAGGCCCTTATAATTTCAGGCCCAGATTATAGACACAGTTTACTGACTGCTTTCCCTGCTGCTAATTTTTCCCCTCTTCAACCTCTCTCTCAGTCTCCTGTCAGGTTAACTTTTCTAAATCATTACATTAATTTTGCTTACTATTACTTGCAGGATAAAGCATAAGTTTTTTAAGCCTAACATTTAAGGCACTGCCCTTCAACATTCTAGCCATTATATGTCTCTGTTCAGGCCATCCCTTGACTATCTAAAACTTATTTACTAAAACCCAATTTGAGTTTTCAGGAAGGATTCCATCCCATTGTTCCTCTGAACTAAGCATTTACTTAAATAAATAATAGTCAAATCAGGAATTTTTTCCATTAAGTTTCACATAAATTACTATACATGTGTTAATGTTGCCTTCTCAGCACAATAGGAAGTTACCTAAGGCAAGAAACCAAGTTATACATTTTTTTCTTTTTTTTGGTTATTTCTCTACCTTCCTCAATATTAAGTCCAAAGCAGATGTTAAATATTTGTTGACTCAAATGACCACACACTTAAATGCCTTTATGAATACAACCATAATAGATGATATTATTTAAAGCCGCCAAACTCAAATTTTCTTTCAGGAAATGAACAATGAAAAAGACGTGATCCTTGTCCTCACAGAATTTATTTTATAATTTACCAGGAAAGACAGACTTATAACCAACTTTAGTAAAATGTAATAAATGATGATCTATTAAATCAAGTTGCACCTAGAAAGATGATCACATAGGAAAGGAGGCAGAAGGAAAAGTAATTTAGGTACAAGGAGCAGCATATACTCTGGAAGGATGCAAGTAAATACCATGTTTTAACACACTAGCGTAAGTTGAGGATCTGGCAGGGGACAAGAAAGAGGGAGAGAAAGATAAACTAAAATTAGAATGTGAAGAACACTTGACTGCCATGTTTAATGTACTGCCATTGAAAATAAGGAACAGACCTTTCAGAAGACTCACATGATCAAATGTATTTTCTAAAAAAATAATTCTGGTAGTATCTGTAGAACACAGTGAAACAGGAAAAGATAATGGAGCTAGAAAGACTAAGTCTATTTCTACAATACAAATGAACAAGGATGAAAGCCTGAAATAAGTGACAGAGAATTGGGGTGATTAGGGAAACAGTGTCAAGCAACACTGGAAGCACGCGATCACGTTATAGGAATTCAACAAAGAAAAATCTATGGGAAAAAATAATGCCAATCACCACATAGCTTTCATGTCCTTTCTGGAAAGCTTTTAAATTTATATTGAAGAGCTTTTATTATTACATAGTAAACTGTAATCATTAATAATAAACATATGTAGAGGAGTAAAAAATATATAAAATGTTTAGCAATCCAAAGAACCTATTTCAGAAACACGTGAAATCAAAGATCTGTATGACACCGTAACATAACAGGCTAATAGTTTCAGCTTTACCAAATTGCTCAAAAGCACAAATATTCAGATTAACTAAGAACAAAGAGGTAGGTGTTGTGAATATTTACTTAAGATTTATAAGACCAAGACAATGAATTAAAAAAAAAATTTTTTTTAATGTTTATTTGAGAGAGAGAGAGAGACAAAGTGTGAGTGGGGGGAGGGGGAAAAGAGAGAGAGAGGGAGATACAGAATCCAAAGCAGGCTCCATGCTCTGAGCTGTCAGCGTAGAGCCCCACGCAGGGCTCAAACTCATGAACCATGAGATCATGACCTGAGCTGAAGTTGGACAGTTAATCAACTGAGCCACCCAGGTGCCCCCCCGGTGAATTTTTAAACTTTGATATACACCTTAAAAGAACAGTATGCATATAATTCTAATAATCATATGCTATGTATTCTTTATTATATACACAATTATCTATCTATCTATCTACCTATCTATCTATCTAGGGAGAGACAGAGAGAGTGTGAGCAGCGAGGGGCAGAGAAAGAGGGAGAGAATCCCAAGCAGGTTCCCCGCAGTGAGTGCAGAGAGCCCAACATGGAGCTTGAACTCACGAAACCATGAGGTCGTCGTTTACCTGAGCCGAAATCAAGAGTTGCTAACTGGATGCATATGGTGCCCCCATATGCTATATACTCTTAGTAACTAAGTAACTTAGTAACTAAGTTTCATGTTTCCTAAAAGGATGAAGTACAGACTTATAGCATATCAGTTAGAAAATCAGATTAACATATACTCAGCCCAGTTAATGTGGTTACATGGAATATAAAAGAGGATACTAATTTATTTAAAAAAATATAGATACATTGATTGATCGATAGATAAAACCTGCTCAAATGACTGTACTACATCCTCTTCTAGCTTAAATTCTGACTACAGCGTCCTGCTGGAGAAAACATTTCTTGCCTGAGTTAGTGACAGGGCACAGATGGACAGGGGTGGAAATCTGCCACATTGGGCTAGTTGATAACCAATGAGATGGCCTGAAGGGAGGACTCTGCCCAACAGAAGCCAAGTCAACACAATGGATCCCTCTAGGATGCAGACTCCAAAATGAGAGAGCTAACCAATCAGGAATGAGTGGAGAATGGAGCAGCCCAAGAAGAAAAACAGATAAAGCATGAAAGACAGCTGGAAGACTATGGCTAGTTGCTTGAAGAGTATGGCTTGGAAGCCCAAATTTTTATTTCATTTCCAGAACCAATGAATGTTTATTTTTATGTAAATTCCCTTTTCCTGAAGTGAAAGGAAGGTCATCTCATATCTGTACAACTTAAGTAGCAGAACAACAGTGATCAAATTAATTTTAATTCATTTTTAAGTATACTAGGAAACATGATCAATAAGTATCATTATTTATCTTGTTTGACTAAAACTTTTAGAAGTTAAAATACTCCACTGGTGTTTTATTTTTAATGTAACCTACTGTTGTTACTTGCCACAATTAAGCCCTGGCAATTTGCACCTGTCATTATTTTAGCCTTCCTACATTCCAAAGGCTTTTTCAATCAATCAATCAATCAATCAATCAATCAATCAAAAATAAAAGCCATTCAAAAGTTATTGAATCAATCGGTCCACATTCATTTCACTTGTTGGTAAACAGCCTTCATCTGTATTTCAGGATTCCAGGTTACATGAAGGTGCTCAGGTAGTTCTAAATCCTGCTGCTGGGTCACCAAGTTATTAGATCTATACCTTCACCTCCCAGAACCACAGGATCTAAGATACAACTAGGGTAGCAGAACTGCACTGCTGGCTGCCACAGTTGAAATATCGCTGGGAACTAATGTCCCCAGCCCAACTTGAAGCCACAACATGGTCCTGGTGTTTCTTCTTTCCCTATGGATCATTTTTTCAAACCTGAAGTTCTTTTGGATTTCTTAAGAATTTTTACTGAGAGCAACAAGAATTCATTAAAAGTCAAAAAGACAACATCCAAATATACAGTGCTACAGTACAAAACCTTAAAAGGTAAATATTCCTAGATCTCAGGTGTATTCTCTCCTGCTCTCTTTAAGTTGGATCTCTAGATTTCTTAGATGGAAGTAGGATGGGGAAAATGGATAAAGAACAATCCAGAAACCATTAATATACCAGCCACTGTGCTAAGTCCATTTATACATAATCTTATTTAATCCTAACAACTCTGTAAATAGATATTGCCATTAGTTTCCGGAAGTGGAAACTGAAGCTCAGAGAGTTAAAGTAACTTGCACACAGTAAGGAAAAAATACAAATGAATTCACACCCCAAAATATAGTGTTCAAAGTCAAAGACAGTCTAAATGTTGCTTCTTCCCTGGTGGAACTCTTTCCATTTATGACTAAAATATATGCTGTCATTGGTTCTTCTGTAGCCATTCTCACTAATATTTTCCTTTGTTCTGTTGGGTTAAATCTGCAAGTTCTTGGCCACACCTAGCTCACAAGGAACCATGGGAAAGTTTCCATACCAGTATGAGTTTGGTTAGGTCTGCATAGTGCCTTTAAAAAATATGATATGAATGCTTTCTTTCTTCAGTTGCCTCAAGTATTTATCATCTTATACAAGCCTTCACTCGTTTAAGTGACCTGCTTAGTCTTAAAAAACAGGTCATTTGAAACTGCACCTTTCTCTTACTACCCCCAACTCTGAGATTAAGACTAAGGGTCTGGTCACTTATGTTGCAAACTAGACCAGGCAAAAATGGCTTAGTTCTCCACATGCTTTTCTTGGTTTTCCTCAAAAGGTTAGCCAAAGGGCATTTCACCATGTCCCTCTAATTACATTTCACTGCTATAATAAAGTTACTTATATTGAACAAGTTAATAATTTTTGATACTTCATTAAAATAGTTTAAAAAATTATCTCACCTAGCCCCAGACCCACAAATTCATCAGGAGTCTGATCTTTTGTTCCAGTAAGAGATCCTTCTCTGCCCCGTACTGTTCCAGAAATGTATCGAGGTTTCACTCCAGTTCCTATAAGTTGTGCAAGCTCCAACTGACTGATGCACTTCAGAATCTTCATTACAACAACAAAAAAACTTTTTAAAATTCCATGTTAAAAATGTTTGCAAAAATACTTAAATATATGCAGCCAGGATTTAAATATAGGCTATATTATAAATCATTATAAAAAGCTAAATAAACTTATCCTGAATGTACTAAATTAATGGTTCCCTAAACAATTAAGCTTGCCAGAATATTTAACACTAAATTATTTTATAAACCAAATTGCAAACTTGAAAATAAAGTGCTTATACCTCATGCCATGAATTTCCTAAATAATTTCCATCTGTATGAGCCACTGTGATAAGTGTTTTTATTGTGTCAATGTTCTTCTGTTTCATTTCAGTAATACCAGAACTCACTGTAAGTAAGGTAAATCTTGCTAGTGCTTGGACATATGCATCTCTTTCCAGCTATAAAAAAGAAAAAAGTACACTCACATGGTTATTTAGTAAGTTTTAACTGACAAATCACATGCCTCAAACTACAGTGTTGTTTTTTTTAAGATGATAAATGAAGTAGAAAGGATGAATTTCTAAAATCTAAAGGCAATTAGAGATGGAGATGGGATGTCAAATCAAGATGAGATTTTAGTGATGACAAATGAATTCATACAGTAAAACAAATATTCATTGAGTACTTATGTGTCAAGTACTGTGTGGACTAGCAGAAACCAGGTTTATAAATTTGCCCATTCTTTCTCTACAGCTAGGCTGTGCTTTTTAAGACATAGCATTCATAATTAAATGTGAAATGGGTTTAAAAAAAAAAAAGCAAGCGTTGGCTACAATTTATTATCAGACAAAGTATATAAATTACTAGAGGGGCCTGTCTTCATGAAAAACAAGTACTAGATACTTGGTTCCTGTTAAGACCACTTTTCTTAGGCTTAAATGAAATATATAAAAACATAAAATATGAAAAAATATGATTCAGTAAGTGTGAACATGCAACATATTTAAATAATATATTCAAATTAACATAGAGAAATTCAAAGTCTTAGGAACTTTGTATACAGCTAACATTGTATAGAGAAAAAAATTGCAAACCAAAGTTATTTTGATGAATTCCAGACACATCAATATAGAACTACTCCTTCTGTCACAGCTTCTTGTAAACTTAAACATTACGATTCATTTAAATTCCATCATGAACTCGAAATTACTTTTTAGTAAGTCAGACATAAAAAAAATAATTGCAACTATAGTCATGACATAAGTAATTTGTTTCCCAGACTGGCTACAAAGGCGAAATTCTTTGTTACCTGAATGTTGAAAATGCATGCAATTCTGATTGCACATCTTATACCTTCCAGGCAAAGAGAGGCTACTTCAGTATCATCACAATCTTGCAGACCCACACTAAACGCAGCCAGAAAAGGTGTCCAAGCCAACTAGAAAAATTAAAAATTTAAGGCGTATCATGAACATCAAGTGATAATTAAATTTTATGATAGGACTACATTAATATTTCTCAAAGCTTCAGAAAATAAATGATTTGATGAAGTTCTGGGAAAAAAAAAACAATGAGTTCCTGGGCATATTTTTTGGACAGCTTTCTTGGACAATGGGGAAAAACTATGCAATGTTGCCTGGGCCTCAATAAGTGGTACAGCAGGAGTATAAATTCAGTAGAAGGACCTTAGACATATTTTAAGCACAGCATCTATAAATTATTCACATCAATGGGAATTGCCAATATCCAGAAATGGTATTAGTTTTAACTTTACCTTCAGAACCTCTCTCTCTACAAGCTTTGTCACCTGCAGCAATTCACAGACTGTTTATTTCTAAGCAGATCCTTTCAGTCATTTTCTCCTTGCAACAAGTACATTACTCTTCTTTCTTTTAACCTGCTCCCTGGACATCATTTAGACTTACTTTTTTTGTAGTCAAATATTTTACATTGAAACATCAGTGATATCTCTGGTTCCTAGTTGGGCAATACTTTAAAAATATAGTTCAATAAAATATTTCATTGAAATATTTTAAACAAAACCAACAAACACTAAATTTTACTAGTAACACTCAATGCCTAGTAAAACTGTAATGTAAAATAAAAAGGACTACCTTTGGACTACTGAAAATTCTAATATCAAAACATGTATGTCTAATGTGAATATTTGTTGCTTTTAATAAGTTCTAATGAAGCAAAACTATATAACCATAGAGATGAAAAAGATTTACATGACAACTGGAATTTTCAAAAGATCTAAGAAGTTTTTGTTTAAAAAAATTTTTTTAACTAAAAAAATATTTATTTAGAGAGAGTGAGAGAAAGAGCATGTGAGTGGGGGAGAGGGGCTGAGGGAGAGAGAAAGAGAATCTCAAGTAGGCTCCATACTCAGCACAGAGCATGATGGGGGGGCTCAATCCCATGACCCTGGGACCATGACCTGAGCCAAAATCAAGAGCCGGATGCTCAACTGACTGAGCCACCCAGACACCCCAAGATCTAAAAAGTTTTTAAGGTTATTAAAGAAAACAGGATTACCCAAAGCTATGTTTGTAACATCAGAAAGTTTAGAAGTATATAATCCCTAAACAAAGGAACATAAACCGTAGTACCTAATTTCTAGTCCTAGCTTTGCCTCTCTGAACCTCACTATCGTCCTCTTCAATACCTGGACTGCCACTATAGAGAGATGCTTTAGGAAGCACATGAGGTGCAATACTTTTAAAATATGAAGTACCACATGGAAGTAATAAATTACACATTATATTGTAAGAAAAGAAACAGCACATCTATTCAGAAACCTGTGTAATATTTTATACAAGAAGTATAAATGGTTCTAAAGCCAGTGAAAAATATGTTTAACTCCACCAGGAATTAAAGACAATGATTTCTCCTATCAAACTACCCCTAAATAATATCCAGGGGACATTGCAATTATTCATTCATAACTGTGTAATCCTTTGTAGACTACAATTTGGCAGTATGTAAAAAGATACTTAATATTTATATCCCTTAATATATCACATCCTAGAAACCTCTCATTCATTCCTCTACCCAGTCAATGCTTGTTTATTGAGCACTTACTACAAGCTAGGAATTGTGCAAGATATTGGGAAAAGTAAACAGAACAGTCCCTTACCTCAAGTCTAGTAAAGAGATAGATATTAAATTTTAAAATAAGTCAATGTATAAATACCAACTGTTAAAAATACAATAAAGGATAAGTATAGCACATTATTAAAAGGACCAAATTTGGAAGGGGCAGAGCAGGGCAGAACTCTCTGAGAAGGTAACATTTAAAGTGGAAACCACTTGGGCAAAGAAGGAAATAGCATTCTACATAAAAGGCAAGCTTGTAAGAATGTTCTGAAGACAAAGTAATTTAGGACATTCTAGAAATTGATGTTATGTTAGTGTGACTGCAGCACAGCAAGACGTAAGAAATCTAGCGATGAGGCTGGAAAGGCAGGTGGAGCCAGAGGATGTTGTGGGTGTGTTAATTTCATCATGTATCATGCAAAGTCAGTGAAGGGTCTTAACAAGGCAACATTTCATATTGTATTTTAAAATGATCAGTCTGGCCTCTGTAAATGGATAAGAGGAGCACAAAAATAGACATAAGAATACTAGTTAGGACTTTACAATATTAAAGGTAAGAAATGAGGATGTCTGGAGAGGTTATTGGCAGTAGAAGTGTTGGTGAAAGGAAAGATTCTTAATTCTAGCTTAGAAGATGTTTGCATAAACTAGAACTAATCTAGAGCACAGATAATAAAAGCTATTTATGAAGAATTTTTAATGATATGGGGAAATACTATGTGAGAAACAGCAGACTACAAAATTCTGCACATAGTATGATCACAACTGTTCAAAGAAAGTAGTATATAAACATATTAACAGAAGTTTTTTCTGAGTGATAGAACTATGGCTGGTTCCTACTCTTTTCATTCTCCACCTGCCCCCCAACCAAACACATCTGAGAAGAAAAAGAAGAGTGTAAGATTATTTAAAACAAAACGAGAAGCTGGTGTATAAAATTTGTTTCATAAAAAGTGTTTCTTATATTTTAACATCATTTTCTACATTATTTCCAAAGATAAGGCTACTTATCTTTTATACTCCACTATTTAATACTGCCTCCCTAGCACCCCATCCTCTAATTCTTCGTCAAGTTTCAGAAATAAAGTTATTCCACACACCTTGAAGTAAGAGTAGAATGATAAAACTTGAGAGCTAAAAGAAAGCATAGAAATCTTATAGTCCTCTTTTACTGCCCATGCATATGTGTCCTTAATGTCCGAAAAAGAACTCAAATTATGATCTTCAGCTTCCACAGGCAATCTTTCCACACTGTCTCACAAACTGGAATGTACTTGACCCCTTTTCCCTTTTCAAATCTGACTAGACTCTCTACTTCCCTATAATCCTTAGTCACTGCTTACTTTGCAATTTGGAGAAAGGGCAGGAATATAGGACAGGAAAATGAAGAAGGAATAGGCGATCAAATTGTAAGGAACCAGTAGTATCATTCTTACTAGATCAACCTATAAATGTAAATAATGCTTGTTTCTGTTCTCCACTCTACTCTCTGCGCTCCAGGCGTACTCAGAACCCACACAGGAGATCCTGGGCCAGAAGCTCAAGAAATTTTAGGTAACTCCAAAGGCTTAATTAAATAGATGTTATTTAACGAAAACCAGGCCAAGGATTAATGATCATTCTCTGAAACTTTTCTATTCTTATTTCTTAAGATCAAACATTTATTAATTACCATTAGTGTACACTTTTTCTCATTCTCTTTAAGAAAAAATTTTTATTTGCTGTATCGTAAAGAACATTGCTTTTGCTTCCAGGTCCTCACTAATGGGCTAGAGATCACTATATTTCCTTAACTTAAAAACATGCTGAACAAAACTGTACATAAATGTATACTGCAATCAAAAGTTATTAGTAACTCTTGGGGCACCTGGGTGACTTAGTCAGTTAAGCATCTGATTCTTGATTTTGGCAGGTCATGATCTCATGGTTGGTGAGACTGAGCCCCACATCAGGCTCTGCCCTGACAGTGAGGAGCCTGCTTGGTATTCTACTCTCCTCCTCTCTCTATGCCTCTCTCGCACATTTGTCTCTCTTAAAATAAATACACATTAAAAAAAAAAAAATTATTAGAACTCTTACCTTAAACATAGGCCTCACATGCTCCAAATGTGTTGCACTTGTAAAAGGTGCCTGAACATGGCTCACGGCTTCCATGAGTGCTTTTGCTGTCTTGGCCATCTGTTCCATTTCTAAGTTATACAGAAGTCTTCTTTGTTTTTCACTGGCTACATCTGAAACAACAAACACTATTAGCATTTAAAAAATAAATCATTTAAAAATGCTTTGATATTTTACTAATAAAATAATAAATGTCACCAATTAATACTAATTAGATATAGTCTTAAAAAACCAGATACAAAAGGTCACATAAGGTGTGATTCCATTTATATGAAATATCCAGAGTAGGTAAATCCATAGAAATAGAAAGCAGACTGGTGGCAGCCAGAGGCGGGAGAGAGGGAGATAATGTGAAGTTTAATCCTAAACCTTCCGCATCTCCTTGAATCACCCCTACTTCCAGTTTCTGTTTATGTGTAACAATAGATGAAAAGACAGAACTGTGTTGCTTGTAGAGGAGGCAGGAAAAGACTGAGAGTTGAAGTCTGTCTGTTGGGGTTCCCTAAGCAGTCTCACTGACCTCCTAATCCATGCTGAGATTTACTACCACATTAATTGACAAGTATGTATTAAATGCACACTAGATCATGAATATTATGTAGCATTTTCTTTGATCACTGGTCAGTGCTATCTTTATTCAGAATGTGGAAAAACATAAAATCAGATCAGCAAACTGTATAATACTTTTCATTAGAGTAGTATCTGACTTACTCTAAACCAAGTAAAAAAAACTTTTAGCAAACCGCATTTTTCCTCTGAACAATCAGAATTCAGTTGATTTGGATACTTACTTTGTTTACTTGATTTTGTAGGGATTGTTAGTTCTTTTGTTTCTTTCATTGATATCTTTTTTCCAGCTATCTCATTATAGATGGCTGACAGATACTCTTCAGGAAGGTCTTTACTGTCATTGATACCTCTATTCATCTTAATGTATTGTTCCTTTGTCATTTTATTTTTAACCTAGAAATGAAAAACCATTATAATTCCTAAAACTCCTATTTTAAGAATTTGAATACTTTTAGAAGAGAATTTATAAATACTTTGAGGACAGGACAGGGCAAATATTCAGTGAAACATATTTAAATGAGAAAAGGAAGTCACCGAAAATGAAGGTAATGTAGAGAAGACCTATCCTGGCATATGCTAATTAACCTTGCTCTGATGTGCACATATATAATTTGTAACAAGAAACAGGGAAATCGAATAATGAAATTATTTGGTTTTGCCCAAGGTTTAAGAGTTCTAGCTAGAGTGTTTAAAAAAAGGACCATGACAAGTATTAAAAACATGGTATCAAAAAGATTCAAATCTTAGTGGGGGGGGTGGGGGAGGGCAGAAATATGTTGTAAAGATTTAAAAGCTAATTTTACATAACAGTGGATGCAAAGTAATAGCCGAATTTATTTAAATCAGATAACAGTTTCTTTGACTGACTCATTGTGGTAAATGAAGGTTAGGTGATCTGGGTCAAGTGTCCTCAGAACATTTTGTCTTGTTAAGAGTACTCTGACCAGGAATGTCTTACAGTATACCTTCATCAATCTGTGGAGTGCAAGCTTGTAATTTGTAAGATGCAGCCCTGTCACCAAAGTTGAGAACTAGCACAACCAAAATGTTTTTATCTGGACAAAACCCAGAGAAATTACAGGCTGTGTTTGTTTGGTTCCAGACTACAGCAATAAAGTGAATATTGCAATAAAGTGAGTCAAATTAATTTTTTGGTTTCCTAGTGCATACAAAATTTATACTTACACTATACTATCGTCTATCAAGCATTATGTCTTACAAAAACAATGTACATATCTAAATTCAAAAATATTTTATTGCTAAAAAATGCTAACCATCATCTCAGCTTTCAACAAGTCATAATCACTGAACACAGATCACTGTAACAAATGTAATAATAAAGAAAAGTTTGATATATTGTAAGAATCACCAAAATGTGACAGACCCATGAAATAAGCAAATGCCGTTGGAAAAATGGTGCTGATAGACTTGCTTGATGCAGGGTTGCTACAGGCCTTCAATTTGTAAAAACACTATTACCTACAAAATGCAGTAATGTGAAGCATGATAAAACATGCTTTAACTTATTTAAATATATATATATGTACACACACACACACATATACACACACACACATATATTTAATTAAATATATTCCTACCATCTCCCATGAAGAATTTAAGGCATTCTAAAGATAAGGCTCTTCCTGTAAATTTATAAGACACATAGAAAGCAAGCAAGTCCTAACTTTAAAAACTCATCTTGGGGCACCTGGGTGGCTCAGGTCATGATCTCACAGTTGGTGGGTTTGAGCCCAGCATCGGGCTCTGTGCTGACCACTCAGAGCCTGGAGCCTGCTTAGGATTCTGTGTCTCCTCTCTCTGCCCCTCCCCCAGTTGTGCACTTGCGCACATGCACGCTCTCTCTCTCTCTCAAAAATAAACAGTAAAAAAGCAAACCAAAAAACCCTCATCTGAGTCAGCACCAAAAATAAAACAAACAAACAAACGAACGAACGAAGGAAAGTTTCACCTGAAGTTCTGATAAATACTAATTAACAATGACATAGGGTTACTAAAATAAAAGACCATATAAGTGCTGTCAGTAAGAGGCTAAAAAAGAGAAACATTACCTGGAAATCTTAAGCATGGCATGTTGTTTTTAGTATTGTACCAGAGACAAAAAGAAGTCTTGGTAAAAAATCTGAAGTAGCTGTATATTATGCTTGTGCATCTGGGTTGGGAGGTGGAAGTGGGAGTAGGGAATACATTAATTTCAGGTACCCCAAATAAAAATATACTGCTCAAACAGAACACAGTGGGATTCTGGAAGCAGGATAACACATAACCCTACTTTTCCTTTTCCTGCTTATCTTTTATGGAACACCCTACTCTTGACTTTTGTTTTCATGCACTTAAATTAAGCTGTGTTTAGTTTTAGTATTTAAATCCCTTATTACAATGTAGATTAATATACACTAAAAATTAAATGTGTTCTAAGTATGCCTCAAATTTTTAAAAAATTCATTGACTCACACAATATATAAAAGGTGGTCTAACTATAAATATTCTAGGTAAAAAAGGAACATAAATGACTTGTTTAAATATTTTAACTTTGAAAAACAACTAAGAATGAGAAGAATTAGTTTTAAGGAATTCCTTTAAAGTCACCTGTGTTCTTGGGGCGCCTGGGTGGCGCAGTCGGTTAAGCGTCCGACTTCAGCCAGGTCACGATCTCACGGTCCGTGAGTTCGAGCCCCGCGTCAGGCTCTGAGCCATCAGCCCAGAGCCCG